ATAAAATACAAAAATTTTCCTGGGATTCATGGTTAAATGAGTGCTAGTCATACAGCTATTCTGACTGGCGCAGTTCTAGGCATATACCCGGAAAGAACTGAGAGAATCCAACTATGAATCTATGAAACTGGAGCTGTCTGGGAAGGTCAGAAGTCAAACTGAAGCACATAATGAGTTCAAGCATCATCAGGGTTAGCTAAACTGGAGTATGTATACAAGAAGGAACAGGGGTGGGGTGGGGTGAAGTTTTCCAGATTACAGGTTTGAATTTGTTCCTCAGTTCTGCCTAAATAGTTTCTTGGATCTAGGCATAAGTCTGTCAAGTTAAAAAAAGACTGGAACCAAGATAAGTAATGGATTGTTTGCCTAGAGAGGTTGTGGAATTTCAGTCATTGAATGTTTTTTAAGAGCAGGTTAGACAAATGTGTTAGCAATTGTTCAAGGTATTATTAATCCAGCCTTGTGGTTGTCTAAGAGATCACTCAGAGACCTTCCTGCTCTATGTTCTGTGATTCTCTCATGTTCTAAATGAGCTGTCTGACTGAGGCTTCTGAATTAGGGGTTGATTTTATTTTTCAAGAGTTCTGAGCTACCCAATAGCTAGATGTAGCTAAATAATGAAAGCGTTGAAGCCTTGCAGTTGTTAATTTGTTTGTGGCTACAAAATCATGGGGCTGATATATGTATACATAATTTTGTGTTCAACATTCAAAGTCTGTGGGGCTTAATCCACAGTCAACCACATTAATGCGAAACTGCCATAGACACCACACTCAGTTATAGAAAGTATGTTTTCAAAAGTTAACCCAGTCAGAAAAATGACCCATGAGTGATCTACAGTCTCTTTATGATTAGCTATAATAGCAGAGAAGCTGCACAATCACATTGCAATAGCAAAATATGTCTGAAGGCTCTGAACACAGCTAAATTCCTCCAGTTTATTCTGCAGGGAAGCCTTCAAACCATTTTCCAAAGTTCTTAACAAGTTCTTCAAAGCTGTGTAACATTAATTTCTGACTAGGCACTTTCTTAAGGGACTTTTCTAGAAAACAAATAGTGTCATCAATCAATTCATTCAAGGAGAAAAACATATAGAGATTTCCACTCTGTAGATGTCCCTGAAGCAACAAAAGCTTTATTTCAGAGCAGATGGAAGCAAACAAGTGTTATGTTTTTCTCATAGAACTGACTTGTGTCCAATCATTTGTAGCTTGTCTCAGGGCAGCCAACATTAAAATATTCTAGGGATAATAGGGTCTAGAAAAATAAAAATCCAAACCTTGTTTCCATATGGTTTTATGATGGTCAAGATGCTTTCCAGCTGGTGATGGGGGAGTGCAGAGGGGCACAAAAAACCTAAGAAGCAACTTTAATCAGTTGATGAAAGGCATCATACTGTAGTGTTCCCAAGGATTGGTGGGGTCTGAACCAGGAGGCCCCTTCCACCCCTCCAGGTAAATTAATCCTAGACTTATTAATACAATGCCAGGTCCCTATTTTATAAAGTAATCTTTATAATCTGAAGTAGGTTTAATGTTTATAGATGTAGTGCCTTTCTCATTAGGGTAGGGGTGGGCAATTATTTCAGGTGGAGGGCTGCTTACTGAGTTTTGGCAAGCTGTTGAGGGCTGCATGGGTAGCCCCACCCCCTTGCTAGGTGCCCCACCCCTGGTTGCCATCTTGGGACTAGAAGTCCCACCCCCTAACCCCTGACCTTTGCCACCAGAAGTCCCTCCCCTTGTCTCTGGAGATACTACTTTCAGCAAAGGATTTTGCCATCTCAGAACCAGAAAAATACCAAATTATATTCTAAAAATCAAGCATCTACAACGTTCATTACTTTGATTTCAAAAAATATTTTGGTCCTGATTTACATTTGTTTGTGTAGTGTACACAGAGGTGATCGCACAATAGCTTAAAATTAAGCTGGGGCATGTAGACTGGGTATAGGTTTGTCCGGAGCTATGAGTGTGTGGTA